TATGTTAATGAGACAGGATCAGGTCACAGATGTTATGTTAATGAGACAGGACCAGGTCACAGCTGTTATGTTAATGAGACAGGATCAGGTCACAGCTGTTATGTTAATGAGGCAGGATCAGGGTGGGACTCAATACCCTGACCCAGGTCACAGCCCTCATCCAAATGTAAGAGGAGCTTCCCTGGGGTGTGGCCTGCATCATCTTTCATCTTAACAAGAGCTAAAAGGAGAAAGAAGCAAACAGAGAAAGGGGGATCTCAGTACCATCAAGGAAGAGGAGCCAGGGGCAGACTACATCCTTTGGCTCTGGAGTCCCTGTGCTGAGAACCTCCTAGACCCAGAGACAGACTAATGCCAAGGCACATATAGATCTCCAAAGAATGCTGGGCCCACAGATGCAGAAAAAGAGACAAGGACCTGTTTCTAGAGCCTCTTCCTTGAGCTGGTGTTCTGAATTAGGACTCCTAGCATCCGGAACTGTGAGAAAATCAGTTGCTGCTTGTGAAAGCCATCCGTTTGTGGTATTTCAGCTATAGCAGCACTAGAGAACTCAGACAGGCCAGGATCCGCTTGGATAAAGAAGGTGAGAAGGTTGTACAACTCAAAGAAGGCCATCCATGTCACTGGTATATCTAGAAACTGTTGGATTGGTGTATGCTTTGCTGGGTACATCCTCAACACCACCATAAATAAAACAATGTTTAAAAAGACCACTTTATGGCGTGCACATCAATATTCTTACTTTCACATTAAAAGAGCACTAGAGGTTGTCCATATGGCTCATAAGCCCACTGCCACTGAATCAATTCTGACTCATAGCAACCCTAAAGGAGGGAACAGAAATGTCCCGTAGGGTTTCCGGAGTCCTGATGTGGTGCTACGGGCTAATGGACTACCCTGAAAGTTGGTTTGAACCACAAGGTTAGTGGTTCAAGATCACCGGTTGCTCCTTGGAAACCTTATGGGTCAGAACCGACTCGATGGCACTTAACAACCACAACATTAGGGTTTCTGGGGTGGTGACTCTGTATGAGAGCAGATGTGACACCCACCTGTTGGCTAGCAGCCCAATACTTAACCCACTGAGCTGCGACGGTTCCTGGACATCATCATAGGAAATATTTTAAAAATATTTACATTCCAAGTGGTACAATATGTGATCTGCTTCTCAGTGTAAGATGAAGTATGCTTTTTGGGCAATGAGTTGTGTGTTTTTTACTTTTCTTACTGGTAAGAAGAATGACCAAAATCTTTACTACGTATGAGCTTTTTTTGATACTTTCTTCCATTGGGTTAATCCTGGTCAGAAAACATCAGTTTTGCCTTAGACAACAGAGGGGAGCATGGTATTGCTTAAACCTGACAAAGTCAGTCTTTGATGCCTAACCCAGGCACACTTTCCTTACCACTGCCACGGCACCTACTCAGTCTCATAGCAACCCTCTATAGAGTTTTCGAGGCTGTGAACCTTCACAGGAGCAGAGAACCTCATCTATTTTTTTTGTGGAGCAGCTAGCTGATAGGTTTGAAGTGCCTACCTTGAGGTTAGCAGTCCAGTGCTTATCATACAGTGCCACATCAGGTTACTTTCCTGTGGCCTTTTAAAGGCGTGAAAGAACCACACTCAGCTTCCCGTCATGCCTTTGGCATGAGCTGCTCACCCCGGTATTGGGCGTCATCCACAAGCTAGTCTGCCCTGAGAAGAGCTCTGTGTGGAAATGTTTAATTTTGTCCACAGGAATGTTGTTAACCAGGAGCTGTGATTGTGTTGTGGCAAGCTTGCTGAAGTGGGTGTCTGTGCTGGATTCCACCAATTTATTTACCCTAAAGCAAACAGAAAACAAATATAAACTCTCAAAGTCACTAGGATGGAAAGAAAGTAGGACAAATTGTGCAAAATCAAAGTGTTAAAAGGCAAGAATAGTGAGGACAACAGGAGCCGCCATGCTCAGAACAGTCGACAAGGCTGTTGTTGTAAAGAGCCATCTGCTCAGTTCAGACCCAGCAGCCCTCTATAGGGCTTCCAAGGAGTAGCTGGTGGGGCTGGACTCCCGATCTTTGGCTAGCAGTCCAGTGCTTAGCCTACAACGCCACACCAGGACTCCATCTTCCAGGCTAGCAAGGTCTTAAACACGTACTGAGTGATGCTGAATGGACCGAGCAGAACTCCCAAACTAAATGAGGCAGGAAGAAAGGCCTGGTGATCGGCCTCCGGAGAGCAGCCTCAGAAACAAACACCAGCAGGAGATACAGACTGGCAGACACAAGCTCAGAGCTAGCACGTATCATACCCAACAAGAGCCATGGGCCAGTTACCAGACACAGACTGCCACATTGGAAGAAAGAATTCACCTGTTCCCTACCCAACACTTGCCAGCCTACCTGCAGTGTCTGGTTGAGGGAGACCTTCCTAGACTTGAGTCTGTGTCCTCACACAGTGGATGGTAGCATGCTCACCACTGTCCCCCACCACTGGACATCCTGGTAGAGGCTGCAGATCATTCAGGGGGGATGTTGCAGGAAGGGGTCAAGCACTGGACGATGTTTGGCTAGGGGGCCTCTAGGGTCCCTCCCGGCCCGGAGCTCTGGGCCTTACCAGATTTGTGCTTGCTTACCGAATAAAGACCTCCTCCATGGTGGTCACAGAGGCCCCAAAACTGGAGATGCCCAGCTCCTCCTGCCTCAGCTCCAGCTCAGAAAAGAGAGCTTCAAACCTGGGAAGAGAAGATAACTTACTCGGATGGGGAAAGACGGATGGGGAGTCCATGCCCTCTTCGCTTCTCCACAGGGGAACATACGTGGGCTTTGGGGTCAAATCTCAGTGTTATGTAATTCTAGGAACTCAGCTCCACTTACCAAGGAAGGTAATGGCAGTGACTTCAGAAGGTTCCCATAGAAGTAACCCTAACAGGTGCAAAGTAAATACAGGCACACCCCATTTTGCTGAGTTATGCTGCATTGCGCTGTGCAGACATTGCAGTTAACAAACGCAGTGGGCCTGAGGCAACCCTGCTTCAAGCAAGTCTGTGGGCACCATTCTCCTAACGACCCGTGCTCACCTCATGTCTCTCTGTCACATTTTGGTCACTCTCACAGTATTTCCAAGGTTTTCACAACGTCATTGCACATGTGATAAACTGCAGTGGAAGGTAAATATAACTTTCCTATACAGAGGGAAACCAAAAAGTTCGTGCGACTTGCCTTATTGCAACATTCACTTCATTGCCATGGCAGGGACCACACCCACAATATCTGTGCATTAGGCCTGCACAGTGAAGCCTGTGACAAGATTGTCTTGTTTTCACAGGTTGTGAAAGTGCTCTGCCTCTGACAGGGCGCAATGTGACCACTTCTGTATCGCTCATTTAAGTGGAAAACATCACAGGTTCCCGCTTCAGGAGGTTTGGTTGTGCCGATTCATCATTTTCCTTTTGAGTACAAAGAAACAGCTGTACTGTTTTCAGAGTGTTTGTTAAATGTCAGGGGCCATTGGAGGCCATTTTACATGGGGACTCGGCTGTGCTTTCAGGAGCTCTGTGGACACAGCGCTGAGAGCTGGCGACTCGCCTCACGGTGTCAGTCTCCAGAATGCTGAGCTGGTGTGCAAAGGAGGCAGTGTGCAAGTGACTCTCATCAGGCTGCTAAGCTTGAACTTTCCCTAACCCACAGCACCACACCAGCACGCCTAACAAGTTTGAACCTTCTCGATGTTTGAAAGGGATAAATCATGGGTTCTGGTGATATGAGGAAATCTGTTGTGAATGGAGGGATCGATTCTCACAGCCCGGTGTCCAGTCCACAATCCTCTACAGTGGAGAGATCGATTCTCACAGCCCGGTGTCCAGTCCACAATCCTCTACAATGGAGAGATCGATTCTCACAGCCTGGTGTCCGGTCCACAATCGTCTATAATGGAGAGATTTATTCTCACAACTCGGTGTCCACTACACAATCCTCTACAATGGAGAGATCAATTCTCACAGCCTGGTGTCCAGTCCACAATCGTCTACAATGGAGAGATTGATTCTCACAGCCTGGTGTCCACTCCACAATCGTCTACAATGGAGAGATCGATTCTCACAGCCTGGTGTCCACTCCACAATCCTCTACAATGGAGAGATCAATTCTCACAACCTGGTGTTCAGTCCAGCGTCACCAGAAAGTGGTCAGTACCTGCTGCCTCCCTTTTTATAGTGCCCATGCATTCCTCAATCTACTTCACAACAGCACGAACACCTACCCTCCCCTGCACACTGCTCTTCTTAAGATCATCATCAAATGCCATCTTGCCAAAGGAAAAAGTCATTTTATTTATACTTTTTGTGACATACTATTTTGTGAAATAGATGAGGCTGTCTGCTCCTGCAACGCTTTGGAGCCTTTTAAACCCTATACAAGGTCACTGAGTCAGAACTGACTCAAAGGCACTTACGACCAACATCAAGGATATTTTGTACCTCACCAAGATGGCTTGATGCAGTGGCTGCAATAACGCCTTGAACCGAGCGGTGACTATGAGCGTGGCAGGGCTGGGCACTGTTTCCTTCTGCTGGACGTCAGTGAGGTTGCACCGAGTTGAAAGTGACTTGGTGGCACCTAACATACCATTTTGGATGTGGGGTCCCTGAGAGGTGTAAACTGTGAAGTGACTGTCTAGAAGCCTAGGGTTGGGCTGCTGACCCGCCTTGAAACCCGATGGGGAAGTTCTGCTCCGCACATGAGGCTGCTGGGATATGGAATGGACTTGACAACAACTAATAACAACATCTGTCCCTACAAGTAAATTCGGGGAGATGGTAGACCACAGCAATAAAGTGAATATCACAATCAAGTGTCACACACTGGTTTCTCAGTGCGTATAAAAGTGATGCATATACCAGACAGTAGCCTGATGAAAAGACCAACCAAAATGGGACACAGAGACCTGAAGCCAACACCTGCTGCTGACAGACTTCCTTGATGCAGGGTTGCCGCAACCTTCAATCTGAAAAGAAAGAAATGTCTGCAAAGCTCCATAGATAGAAGCAAGTGAAACAAGGTCTGCCTGCGTACGTTCCATATATGCAGACTAGAAAATGTATTAAGAAGATGAGCCCGGTACACCCACTACTCAACTTAAGAAGTGAAATGTATCGATAATGTTCTATCCTGATCCTATTCAACTTTTCAGCATTACTGGTGTAGCTAACCCACGACTTTCTTCTGAAACAGTGCTCTCTCTCGGATTCCTTGAGTAGTTTTGCTCCTCACTGTTTTGACTGCAATCTCTCTGGCTATTCCCAAGTGGTGTAGGGAGACGAGGGGGGAGGCTTAGAGTTCAGCAATTTACCCCTGAAATGCCTGCAACTCGATCCAGTGGAGACACAGGAAGGCAGCTGGACATGAATCGAGAGCTTGAGGAAAGGTCTGGCCTGGAGACACACTGGGAGTCATCAGATTATGGAGGTATTTAAACTCATGGGGAGAGAGAAGGTCACGAAGAAATAGAGTATGGAAAAGGAAGAAAGAAATCACCCGTCTGGAGCAAAGAAGAGTGCAGAAAACCAGAGACGGAAGGAGACAATGCAAAGGCCTAATCGGCCCTGAGACCAGAGGAACAAGCTGGTTCCCAGCTAACTACTGACCACTCTGAAAGGGGTCACAAAAGGGGGTCCTGGGTAGAGTGGGAGAAAAATGTGGAACAAAAGTCAAAATCCCGGCTTACTAGAATGATAGAGACTGGTGGAAGCCTCAAAACTACGGCCCTTAGACACCGTTCAAGGTGAACTGAACTCAATCTTGTGGCTCAACTTTCCACCAGACAACCGACAGGTCTATACGGGGAATCCACCATGTCTGTCCGTTTGTGGGGATGCGTGTTGCCGTGATGCTGGAAGCGATGCCACTGGTATTCTAAATACCAGCAGGAGCACCCACGGTGGGCAGCAGCCGAAGTGATCAGGCTGGGAGGGTTACAACAGGTAGGTAACAGGGTCCCTGTTTGAAGGGTTCAATTCTCAGTGATGAAAGAACACGGGTATGAATTGGTGAATGGCAGACTATTCTGCTCTGTAAACTTTGACCAAACCACAACACAAAAATGTTTTCTTCTCAGTGAGGTAACAGTGAGCTTCCCATCTGAGAGTCACATGGGGGAATGAGAAAGAGAGAGGAGCTGAACCAATTAATGTAGAGAAAAGTTAAGGCCAGTCTTGCCTCAGCTCAGTAATGTTGTTGTT